CAATCCCCGGTTCCAAAAAAATAAATAAATAAATAAATAAAGGCTCCATGTCAATCTACAGCACCACACACAAAAATTTAAAACTATAAGGTACCAGTTACTGGACTAATCATTTTACAAACACTTTCCATTGAATTTATTTTATTTTATTTTTAAATTTTTTTTTTTTTTTTAATTTTTAAATTTATTTGTGTGTGTGTGTGTGTGTGTGTGTGTGTGGCCAGTTCAGCCCGCCTGGGGGCGGGGCTGGCTGGCATGTGGTGCTGGGGGACTGAACCGCAGTCCATGTGCATTGCTTTTTCTAAGTAGGTGCTTTAGACCACTGAGCCATCTCACCAGCCCCCTTTCTATTTTTATTTTTTTATTTTATTTTATTTTTTTTCCATTGAATTTTTACAGTAATTCTTGACAGATACATGCTATTAATGAAGCTCTATGATCTTAAGGACTGTTCCAGCATCACATAGCGATCCAGTTCTGAAGCCAGAGTTCATGCTCTCGATTGTCTAGACCTCAAAGTTTGTGTTCTTCTCATCCAACCTGGTTTACGAAAACAGGTGAAAAGGTAGCTATCTTGATCTCATTTCACAGATGAAGAAATGGGGTCAGATATGAGAAGATAACCAGAATTCTGTAGTTGGTAACAACAACCTACATGCTCTGATGCCAAGTTCAATGCATTATTATACCACAGGACCCTCAAAATAATGTTTGAATTATTGATTATGATAAGATACCTTTCTCTTACTGAATTTATAATCACTCATGTGCTAAATTATATAAAAATCCCACGTGAGCATTTGTTTTATGTTTAGAGTACCAAGAGTGTCTATAAATATCTTTTAATAAGCTTCTCTATCACTAAACTTACTTGTGTAGTTAGAATTAAGAAACCATTCTGATTTTCATCGATTCATGTTTGTAATCTCCAGAGTGTACCTTGTATAACATCTAACACATGCCAAGTATTCTATATAATTTTCTTCAATGACTAAATTATAGCATTTTTCTTTACACTGTGATGTTTCAAAATTTTTCTTTAAATTCATCTCCTGCTTTCCAATATTCATAGTCCAACGTTGTTTACATTATAAATATTCAATTTTTGTTGACTTGAATTTGATATAATAACCTCAACATCCAAAATGTAGTTATGTGAAAGTTTGATCTGAATGAAGAAATAACACAGTACTTTCAGAATACTTTCCTTAACAGGAATGACATCTTGCCTTCTGGTTCCCTATAGAAGAATCCTTTCCTTCTCTGAAAACCTGTAATACTCATTTACTACAATATCAATTTGGTATTTAACATCTATTTCTTTGTTTGATTACTAAGTTTTATTTTTTATTTTTATATTTTAGGACAGGGTCTACAGAGTCTACAGGGTTTCACTACACAGATTGGATTTGTAGTGATTCTCCTGTTTTCAGCTTCCCAAGCCCTGGGATTACACGTAAGCGCCACCAGCCCAGTGTCAATCCTGGGGGTGGGGCTGGCACGGCACACTGGGGATGGAACTCTGGCTGCTGCATTCTGTCTAAGCAGGTGCTTTAGTCTCCTGAGCTATCTGGCTGGCTCTGATTACTAAGTTTTATATCTATCTCCTCTCTCATCAAACGTAAGGACCATAAACTACACTTATTACCTAAAAATGTAGTACAGTTGAAATAAATGACCATGGGCTTGTATTGTTGTTTTCGTTTAAATTTTTAAAGAAGTCTTGTTATGTTGCCCAGGCGGGCCTCAAACTCTTGACTTGAGTAGTCCTCCTGCCTCAACCTCTAAGTACTGTAGCTGGATTAAGAAGCAGTTATCTTTTCAAAGGTGTGTTTAAATCCTAGTCTGCCATTTATCAACTATGACCTTAAAGAGTATTCATTTCATCTCTCTGAATCTAAGTTTTATTGTTTACAAAACACAATTATTATCTTATAGGGTTATTGTTGGAAGGATGAGACTATGGATTAACTGCTGGCACAATTGGTGGTTATTATGAAGCCTTTTTTATACTTCAATAAGTAATCCCATACATAAAAACACCTATTGCTGATAACATAACTACCTGCTGCATGTTAGGTCTGCAGGTACCACAAAGACATACAAACCAAAACGTACCTGTTAGATAAGAAGTAAACTGCTTTGGACCACAGCGAATAGCATAACGTGTAGTTGTTCTCACAGCTTTTGGTTCTGTCTGTAATGCATCCCTGGGACAAAAGAGGGTTCCATTTGATGTTTCTCCCCACCATCTCACTCGGACAAGTACACAAGTGGGAGGCTTTGTAATCTTCCATATGATTTTATTGATAGTAAGTTTTAGAAAGCAGCGTAGCTGGCCTTCAACCAGAGGTGGTAGGCTTGTAGATGGCGAAATGTCACTCAAACCTATGGAGGAATCAACAACACTAACTCAAAAAACTACACTAAATATAGAAAAACATCAAATCTGTTTTCAGAATTAAAACAAAATGCTTTAATCTTTACAGAGAGAAGGCCTGTTCTATCCATTCTAATACATGAGTAACAAAGAACTCAGACCACGGAATACCTATTTATTACTCTGTCATTATAACTAATTAGTATTTAGTATTATGCTAACTAAAGGACATATTAAGACATACTAACAAAAACTTTTCTTTAATTGAAAGATACTACTTGCAAAATAGAAATATAATGATACCACTAGATAGATTCAAAATCTAAGCAGTAGTTGAAATTTTTACAACTTGTTTTAATTATTGCCACATTTACATTTTAAGATGTTATCTTTTTACCTAGCTTATTTTAAAATTAATGTGAAACAGAAAACAGCAACTTCCTTCTCTGGACACAAAATTTAGCCTATATTGTACAATTTAGTATTTCAACAAAGAGCATCTTAAACTATTTGTATTTTCTTTCTTGCCAAGAACATATAGTCAGTAAGGCCAGACCAATACGTTTAGGTTCTGCAACAAATTTTTTAGTGATGGGTTTAAATTTATTAGCTTTAATACTAACTGGATTACAGAAAGACAGAAAGCCAAAATGTAAACAGAGCAATTAAGCATGACTCTACTTGTCTTCAGTCAGTGTCTTTTCTATAAGACTTACCAAATTATTTTTATATTATATACATCTTTCTATGGGGTATGGTAATGCCTCATTAAAAAACTTTTCCCCCCTGAAGTCTATCAGATCAGAAATCTATATAACAAATTCTTTGAAATGCTAAAGCAAGCATTCTTTCTTCTCTATAGTAAAGACCCACCATAACTTCATGGGTAAGTTTTAATATAAAAATTGGTTAATTTATATAGCTGATGTGTTTAATATAAAAATTATCTGCACTGTATGATGAAGCTGCTAGTAATTCCAACACACAAAGGCCAAGCTAGGAAGGTGATGGGCGAGGCTAGCCTGGGCTACAGAGCAAGACTTTGCCAAAAACAAAAACAAAAACAAAAACCTTACATACAAGTATGTACATGACCATTCCCACAGATGCACATGGCCCATTCTTTTATGTACCACTCCTACTAAAATTATTTCTACTTTGACATTCCTCTTGTCAATCTAGTATGCTTCACTGGTTTGATAGGCTCCATTTCTGAGAGGAAAGATAGTCTCAGAACTGCCTCAGTGGCATTTAAACAGCTCAGGCAAGACTCATTCCCATACTGTGGTCAGTCCTCAACACCACACCCTACTAAGACTATTTTCCATACCTCTATCTTCACTAAAATCATTACAATATAAAAAGGCAGGTTCACTCATAAAATTTCATATTTTATAATGTAAAAATGGCTTTTCCCCCCTTGAAGACAGCTTTATAGAGTCAATGTCCAGTTTTCTGATCTGTCCTCACTATTTTTCCTGCAGTTAACATTACCTGCTCATTTCAAAAACTCATTTCTCTTAGGACTACTATCATGAGGAGGTGTTCTTAAGGCTCCTCAAGGGATTTTCATGACCTTAACCCCTACTCCAAACACTACTGTATCTTGTCATTCGCCACACTTTTTCCTTCTACATTCTATAACATTCCCTACTCCTGCTCATAGTTCTTCATGCCTCAATTCAATCAACTTAACATTTACTGAGTTCTACTTTGTGACAGTCCTAGGAAGATTTAGTAACAAAACATGGTCATTGTCTAACAGGACCATTAAGATACACCCCTCTAAGGCTACATATGTGGACATATATACATTTACCTGTGATAATAAAAACACTCTCATACTTTGTTTTTCTTCCACCCATCCGATTCTAGCCCTCGCTCTTCACCACCCTTTCGTCTATCACATACCGACCGGGCACCATTTTCTTTCCATTCTTGGAGGTTGCTGTCTTAGCCTTTCGGTTCCCTACTTATTTTTCTCTCTTCTGTCGGTTGATTCCCACATTCCCTCCCCCCAAGCCCCAATCCCGACAAAGCTGATAGTCTCTCTATAATTCTGTACACTCTGCTTCCCCCTATGGCCGCCTTTTTAGGCATCCTGTAACTTTTGACAGCTCCCGTTACCTCTCTTCCTGAGACCATGGCCGCCCCCAGCTTCCTGGCCTTTTCGCTGTTTCATGACTAGCCAGAGCTCTTCTTCACCAACTCAACTTCAGGGCCAGCACCTAAGCTGTGTCCTCCCGCCATCCCTTCCCTTGGTGCCTGCGTTTCCCGGCAACCGGCGCCGCTACGCAGCCTGGGAAGCAGGAAGAAGCAGTCCTTTCTCCAACAGTCTCCGGAAAGAGGTGTCAAAGGAAGGCGCCAAGACTACTTTTCTCCAATAGACTACAACACCCAGAATGCTTCACTACATTACGCGCGATTGGATGGGGCCGAGGCCGCCTGCTGCGCAAGCGCAGAGGGAATATGCTCCGTGAGGACTCTATTCCCCAGCGTGCATTGCCATTAGGAGCGCTTCGCCTTCCGGGGAGGGTCGTTGAGAGAGTCTATAGGGTCCTCAGACTCCGTTACCCACCTTCCTTTGTAGGAGGACTGTTGCGCACTTCCGGCAGAAGCGCCAGGGTGAGGGGGCGGGGCTGACAGAGCCGGTGGGCGGTAGGCGGTGCTGCTGGTTTCTGGGTGCTGTTCAAAGGCGCCTGGGCGTTGTTAGGAGAGCTAGGTGTGATCGGTTGGACCACACTTAGCGTGGGACGGATCCTGTGCTACTGTCTGACGACGCACGGCCTTCCCTTGATGTCGGCCCTCGAGAAGAGCATGCACCTCGGCCGCCTGCCCTCTCGCCCTCCTCTCCCCGGCAGCGGGGGCAGTCAGAGCGGAGCCAAGATGCGAATGGGGTACGTGACTCGTACCTCTTCTCCGTAGAGGCCTGGCCCTGGCAGTTGGAGAATGGTGTCGGCTTTTAGAGCGGCATGGGAGGGGAGGCAAAGGATAGGAGGAAATGTTGGCGGCCTGGAAAGACGTTTACTTGCCATAGGAGGCAATTTGGTGACTAGGGAGGCGCCAAGTAAATAAAAATTGGAGGGCAGCTAACACTGTTGAAGGGAGAAGGGAATGAGGGAAAGATTGGGGAAGGTGACTGAATAAGGGAGGAGAGAAGTAACTCTTAAGACAGTGACGGAGGTAGGGGAGGGCCTGCCACGGAGGGATGAGGGAATGACTGAGAGGAAAGTTGAGGGTAGTCAGGAAATAACGAAGGCAAGATTTGGCCGGAGGTAAAGAAGATCGTGAGAAGTGGATATTAGGAAGGCTGAGACGGGTGGAGGATACCGGAGTCAGGGTTGGAGAGGAAGGGAAAATGAGGGAGGTGAAGGTTCTAGAGAGTTTCCGGAAGTGTAAGAACCAGCAAATAAGGCGGGTGTGTGTAACTGAGATGAAGTCTCATATGCGAGAATTGAAAAAGCGTGGGTAATAGGCCTAAGAAAAGGTAGAGAACGTTTCCAGGAACACTGTTCTGATAAGCAGGGGTTTGGGGTGGCAGAATGCCAGGAGAGATATGATGAGAGAAGACTTTTAGAGGGACCCCATAGTCTGGAGACAGAAATGACTAGGAATAGGGCTTGGTGAATGGAAGCACTGTAGAGGTGAGCTTGAAGAGGAAGATTTGGGCTAGGCAGTTAGGGTTGAGGAAAGCTATGTAGGATTAGACAACATTAAGACAATTAGTGAAATACTGGTTGCCCACCCACAGTGTTTGAGGAAGAGTTTGTTGGAAAGGGAAGAGAGCTGGGTTGGAGAGAAAAGCTTTGTAATTTTAATTTTAGATCCTTGAATGACTTGTGTCAGACTAGGGGATGTTTGGGTGTAGGAGAAAACAGGATAACTTGAGCATCGAAGTTACTGGAAAGCAGAGAAAATATGTGTGAGGGATATTTAGGATGCTTAGGGATGAGATGAAGTCTTTGCTCTTTTGTGGATTTTAGAGATGGGTTGGAAATATTCTTGCAGAAAGGACAAGAAAGAGAAGCCTTAGGTT